CGGGCTTGCCCGCACAATCCACGAAAAGCCCAACGGGTAACCGGGCTTTCAAGGCAAAGATACCTTCAGAAAAAATTGCTGGCAGACAGTGGACGCTGGTCATGAGAGATGGGTGTACTTGGATCTGGCTAAGGCAGTAGGGGGGGTGAGAGGGTMGGAATGAGAACAGTCGTGGGAACTTGACTGGTCCACAAAATCCCTGGGGTGAGAGAGAGAGAGAGAGAGAGAGAGAGAGAGAGAGAGAGAGAGAGAGAGACGAGACTTTCATGAGTCGCACCTTCTTCCTCCTCCCATCTCCATCACCCATCCACCATAGCCAGCCACCTCACACCTTCTTCCTCCACCTCCATCACCCATCCACCATAGCCAACCACCATTACACCTTCTTCCCCCTCCACCTCCATCACCCATCCTCCATAGCCAACCACCTCTGCACCTTCTCCCTCCTCCACCTCCATCCCCCATCCTCCATAGCCAACCACTTCYGCACCTCCCTCCTCCACCTCCATCACCCATCCTCCATAGCCAACCACCTCCGCACCTTCTTCCTCCTCCATATCCATCAGCCATCCACCATAGCCAACCACCTTACACCTTCTTCCCCCTCCACCTCCATCGCCCATCCTTCATAGCCAACCACCTCCGCACCTTYTTCCTCTCTATCTCCATCACCCATCCACCATAGCCAACCACCTCACACCTTYTTCCTCCTCCATCTCCATCACCCATCCACCATAGCCAACTGCCTCACACCTTTTTCCTCCTCCACCTCCATCACCATCCTCCATAGTCAACCATCTTCACACCTTCTTCCTTCTCCACCTCCATCACCCATCCACCATAGCCAACCACCTTCACACCTTCCTCCTCCTGCGTCTCCTTCACCAATCCACCATAGCCAACCGCCATACACCTTCTTCTTCCACCTCCTTCACCCATCTGCTATAGCCAACAACTTACACTGTTTTCTTCCTCCACCTCCATCACCCATCCTCTGTAGCCAAACACCTTCACACCTTCTTCCTCCGCTATCTCCTTCATCCATCCACCATAACCAACCATCTCGCACCTTCTTCCTCCTCCACCTCCTTCACCCATCCGCCATAACCAACCACCTCGCACCGTCTTCTTCCTCCACCTCCATCACCCATCCTCCATAGCCAACCACCTTTACACTTTCTTCCTCCTCCACCTCCTTCACCCATCCACCATAGCCAACCATCTCGCACCTTCTTCCTCCTCCACCTCCTTCACCCATCCGCCATAGCCAACCACCTCACACCTTCTCCTTCCTCCACCTCCATCACCCATCCACCATAGTCAACCACCTTCAGACCTTCTTCTTCTTTCACCTCTATCACTCATCCTCCATATCCAAACACCTCATGCCTTCTTCCTCCTCGACCTCCTTCACTAATCCACCATAKCCGCCCACCTCACACCTTCTCCCTTCTCCCTCCTCCATCTCCATCACCCATCCACCATAGCCAACCACCACACACCTTCCTCCTCCACCTCTATAACTGATAGACACCATGTTCAAAGGAATGTGTTAGGTAAGACAATAGGGCGAGTAGGGGATAAACCTTGG